GGGTTGAGATTTCTCTATCTTACACAACCAGTAGCGATTGATTATTTTTCTCCCATATCTAACAGTATTTTAATGTGAAATAAAGGTAAACATGGACCCAAAACACATACAGGCAATTTGTTGATGGATTGTTGACGTGACGTCATTGTATTGTTGAAGTGACGTCATGCCATTGTTATGAATAGGGGAATCCCCCCGTCTCAACCCTAGGGCGGAGACAGATAAATCTAGCACCGGCAAAACGGGAGATAAATCTGTCAGGCGTGGGAGAATATATAATCCACACCCCTTACACAGCTTTATCTTACCCTACCCAAGATTACACTATAGAATGTCCACTCTCACACAACGTTACCTTACCATAACCTCATTTACACTATAAACTCCCTAATCTCACACAGCTATACAGTACGTTACCGATGGTTACACTATAGTATCACCACCCTCACACAGCTTTATCTTACCCCACCCACGGTTACACTAGATAACCCCCTACTTAATATAGCTTTACCTTACCTTACCAATGGTTACACAAGAGTAACTCATCCTCACACAGTTTTAAAATTGGTGTACTTTACCTTAACTACTGTTGTACGGTAACACTAGATATCCCGCCATCACACAGATCTACTCTTCCCTTACATGGTCATATTGAAGTCCCTGCTTTCACACAGTTCTACCTTACCCGGACACGGACACATTACAATAGCTGTCCTCACACAGTTCTACCTTACCGTCACACGGTCACATTTCAATCCCTGTCCTCACACAGTTCTACCTTACCGTCACCCGGTCACATTTCAATACCTGTCCTCACACAGATTTACCTTCCCCTCCCTCGGTCACATTACAATACCTGTCCTCGCACAGTTCTACCTCACCCTCACACGGTCACATTACAATACCTGTCCTCACACAGTTCTACCTTACCCTCACACGGTCACATTTCAATACCTGTCCTCACACAGATTTACCTTACCCTCCCTCGGTCACATTACAATACCTGTCCTCGCACAGTTCTACCTCAACCTCACACGGTCACATTACAATACCTGTCCTCACGAAGTTCAACCTTACCCTCCCAAGGACACATTACAATACCTGTCCTCGCACAGTTCTACCTCACCCTCACAAGGATACATTACAATACCTGTCCTCACACAGTTCTACCTTACCCTCACACGGTCACATTACAATATTTGTTCTCACACATATTTACCTTACCCTCACAAGGTCACATTACAAAACCTGTCCTCACACAGTTTTACCTTACCTTTACATGGTCACATTACAATATTTGTTCTCACACTTTTCCACCTTACCCTCACACGGTCAATTTTACCATACCTGTCCTTACACAGTTCTACTTTACCCTCACACGGTCACATTACAATACCTGTCCTCACACGGTTCTACCTTACCCTCACACGGTCACATTACAAAACCTGTCCTAGCACAGTTCTACCTTACCTTTACACGGTCACATTACAATACCTGTCCTCACACAGTTCTACCTTACCTTTACACGGTCAAATTACAATACCTGTCCTTACACAATTCTACCTTACCTTTACACGGTCACATTACAATACCTGACATCACACATTTTTACCTTACCCTCGCATGGTCACATTATAATACCTGTCCTCACACAGTTCTATCTTAACCTTACATGGTCACATTACCATACCTGTCCTCACACAGTTCTACTTTACCCTTACATAGTCACATTACAATACCTGTCCTTACACAGTTCTACTTTACCCTCACACGGTCACATTACAATACCTGTCCTCACACAGTTCTACTTTACCCTTACATGGTCACATTACAATACCTGTCATCACACAGTTTTACCTTACCCTCACACGGTCACATTACAATACCTGTCCTCACACAGTTCTACTTTACCCTTACACGGTCACATGACAATACCTGTCCTAACACAGTTCTACCTTACCTTTACACGGTCACATTACAATACCTGTCCTCACACAGTTCTACCTTACCTTTACACGGTCAAATTACAATACCTGTCCTTACGCAATTCTACCTTACCTTTACACGGTCACATTACAATACCTGTCATCACACATTTTTACCTTACCCTCACATGGTCACATTATAATACCTGTCCTCACACAGTTCTATCTTAACCTTACACGGTCACATTACAATACCTGTCCTCACACATTTCAACCCCACCCTCACAAGGATACATTACAATACCTGTCCTCACACAGATCTACCTTACCCTCACACGGTCACATTACAATACCTGTCCTCACACGGTTCTACCTTACCCTCACACGGTAACATTACAATACCTGTCCTTACACGGTTCTACCTTACCCTCCCACGGTCACGTTACAATACCTGTCCTTACACGGTTCTACCTTACCCTCACACGGTCACATTACAATACCTGTCCTTACACGGTTCTACTTTACCCTCACACGGTCACGTTACAATACCTGTCCTCACACAGATCTACCTTACCCTCACACGGTAACATTACAATACCTGTCCTCACACAGTTCTACCTTACCCTCCTACTCTCCCTGACATCATTCAGGTATGTGTTAACCTCTCACAGTCACATTGCACTCACAAGCCTCACTCTTTTATACTATTACCCCTCTGAAGGACACTGTACAAGCCCTGTTATCACACAGTGTTATCCTTCTCTTCCACAGTCCCAGGACAGAACACACCATGCCCCCCTCCCCCTCCCCTAACATTTCTATCTTACCCTTCTTCAGTCACATTACAATCCCTGTGCCTTTATACACAGTTTTACCTTACCTTTTAATAGTCACACTACTGTCATCATACAATGATTTAACCACCACTCATACGTTCCTCCCAGTTCCTCATCTCCTCCTACAATGTTCTCGCAGTGTGCAATCTCTAACACATCCCATGTTTCTGTTTCTATCACAAACCCCGCCCTCCCACAAATATTTGAAATCCCCCGCCGTCATCCTATGTAGTGTAGGCATTTCCCAAGATTTTTGTAATGTGACAACAATATAACCGATATTACTTTTGCCACGTGTTTCTGCATAGTGTCAAACCCGGGACTATATGGTATAAGGGGCCAGTGCTCTGCCGATCCGGCTAAAGAAAAACAAAATCTTACTTAGTACATGTAATGTGCGACCAGATAGTTCATATACATCATTATTTTTTTGCAATCAGGGTGAGGTCAAGTTTCATAAATATATAACGTCTTATTATTTCTTATTTTTCTTGTAGGATATAACAATACCACCAAATGGAGTGTCCGGATTTCCTTACAACCATCTTATTGCTAGTCTGAAAGATGCCGTTCGAACAAATGATCGTCCAGACAGCTTCCATTCAAATAGAGTTCTCAGCGCGACTTCCGAACGAGGAGAACGCCGACCGATTTCTACGAGAGCTTCTGTACGACCGAGCACGAAGTGTTCCGCACGGTTTGGCAAATTTGGCGAGAAAGAAGCTGAATTTTCCAACATTTCCGGATTAACAGTTCACCCCGTGGGCGATATCGTGGTAGCAGACTGTGGTAAGAATGTTATCACTGTTATGGGATTCAATGGTATTTCTAAACATAGTTTCTCATGTAAGTGTTGTATACGAGATGTTGCGATTTCTAAATTTGGGACCTTGCTGGTGACTGTCAGCCAATCAGATGGCGCTATTTTACACGAGTATACACTAGATGGAAGGTTTGTTGCGCAATATGGCGACAAATACGCCCAAGAAAATCCTTTCGGGATTGTGGTTACAAGTCGTAACAAAGCCGTTGTATCTGGAATAACTAAGAACCGGATTCTTATTTTCAATGAAAGAAAGAAACAAACTCACTGGTTCGGAGAAGCCGGAGATACGTTGGAGCATTTTCTATTTCCGTATTACGTCACCGTCAATAGCCGTGATGACGTCATCATATCTGACAGCGGAAACCATAGGATTAAGGTAAACAAAATGGACGGAAAATTGAAATTTTCATTCGGATCACAAGGATCGAAGGACGGAAGGATGTTTTACCCTATGGGCGTGTGTGTCGACTATCTCGACAACATTTACGTGGCGGATGCAAACAACTACCGGGTACAAATGTTCTCACACAAGGGAAAATACCTTGCCACGCCCATCAAAAACACATTTGCATATGGCATGGACGTTAAGCCAATCAGTATAGCGTTCTCACAGGATCAGCTCATCGTGTCTCTTCGCGGTGCGAGATTTGCCGAGATTCAGGTCTTTGAGTGGGACCCTTTTATCTATGCAGAACCACGCTCGTCCCTTTTAGGGTGCTGTGGATCGTATAATAAAGTTGCTGATAGTGGACTGTATCACGCGTGGTCCTGACTTTTCTTTTCACACCCTTGTTCTTTCTTTGTATGTTTACCCATCCCTTTTCTTTCTCAACCGCCTGTGTGTTGTTTGAAACCATCACAACAGCTCAGCTAACACACCATTATGAAAGAAATGAAAGATACATACTTGTGTAATATCAGCAGGGTTAACAGGGCTGATCCTGTCCATGGCTACGGCATATTATAAAGTTTGTTTGTTTTAAACGCAGATACATTACTTATAAATGCAAATATATTGCAATCGCAGTGCCGGCGGGGGCATTCATTAGGGTCTAGTGATCTAGTGACGGTGGTGGAGTTAGGTGGAGCGGGAACAACAGATGGTCGCAAGATTGGGGGTAGCGAGTTGGAAAACACTAAGAGATCTAGAGTCGATCATCAAGACGGGAGTGAATAAGCTTAAGGGGAGAGGGTACTACCTAGGATACAAACATATGATCAGGAGTGAGAGATGGACGAGCACGGAAGAGTCAAGCGGCAAAGTGGATTGGTGAAGGGATGGGAGGGAGATGAAGGAGTCTAGAGCGGGTTTAAGGGCATGCTGGGGGATGTACATTTAAGAGACTAGTATCAGGGCATAGTCTAACAATAAGGTTAGATTGATAAGGAATTAAATAGATGAGATTCTGGCATCAGGATGAGACTGGAGAAGAGGAACAGCTTAACGGTGAAGTTGTCAGAATATGTATTTAATAATTGCGAAATGGTAGAAAAAATATCGCCAACCAATCACCAATTTCATCGTATGGAATGATCCTTCACACAGTATTGTGTATGATCCCTGATTAGTTTTACTAAAAAACACACTTAATCCCCTTCCTTCCAACTACTAATCACCCCTTTCATATTCCCAGATATGTCCCAGTAAGCTGACGTAAATTGTATCATTGCTCCGTCACATTACTAATATACTAAACACTAGCGGTACATACTTACGCTGAAAGTTTGAAGATATTGAGGAACAACTGTCATTAGTGATATATTTACATTTTCGCTGCTACGTGACTATTATAAACCAACTACATGTAAACTTTGTTTCGGGTCATGCGACCATGAACCGAAATGAGTAGTAAAACAATACTGATGTCACGTTTGACTCTCGTTTGGAATTGTTGGGCTAGAAGTTGTTTATTCCAATTTGAAACCATAGAAAAAATACTTGATTCTACTAAAATTACTATGCTCTATCATTTGTAGGCGGAAATGAAATGATTTTTTTTTTAAAAATCAGAACCACTTCTGAAAGCAGTTTAATGATTAAATATATGGTAGGGGAGATGTCAAAAATTATTGAAACGGGAAAGTATCCCAACGTGTTAAATTGAACTACTATTACTGGAATGTACCCGGAATTTAATTTTACATAAGCCATACTTTTGGTAACCGATTACCGATTGGGTTTTAGGTATGTGATGGCTCAATCGAAATAACCATTCTAACTAAACGATTTCAATCGTCGTTTAGGCATTAAAGGGACATCACGTGAAGAGCCATATTTTTTAATAAAAGTATGTGTTGTATGCACTTCCGCTTATGTTACCTTGCTATCCCCATGCGTAGTCCGTTCCAAGTGTCGAGTTTGACCACTTGCATTGATCGGGAAAGCCCTGTTAAAAAAAACGCCAATAGCGTCACCTGACGGTTTTGAAACGAGGCAGTAAACATAGGTGGTCTGACCGAGATGCAAAGTTTCAAGCCCCCAGAGTGGGCCGTCAGGCAACTGCAACTTCTTACCGCACTCTGAAACCAAGTAATATGATTTCTAAGTCCGTGTTGAAACTCATTGAATCAGTAATTATTCATCATCAGAAGTTAGTTGTACACATGCCAATACTCAGAATTTAAATGAAGACATATTTGTTGGCATCTCGGCATTATTTATAGACACCATGCAATATCTATTACCGGAATGTGACCGGTACAAATGGTACGGGGCTAAACTTCTTCCCTCAACCCTGGGGCAAACCTTTCTGTAAAAATGAATATTCACGGGACGAATATCCCTTTTCAAATGTTTTCATAAAATGTATATATACATTTACAAGTATAAAAAAGAGAAACGTTTGTGTGTTTTTTTTATTACATTGTGCAACTCAATGTCTAGACCATGTATTATATTTATTCATGTATACTCTCTTCTCTTCATACGGTAACACTTAGTAAGTCATATTAGCCATCACACACAATAATCATTTCTGGCAAAACCACTACGTATACATGTAGAATATGTGTCAGAAATGGAACGTGTTGAGATACTTGATAATTATATGTTTTCAATACTTTATATAGATTAAAGCATACTTTTAAATGGACCCTTTTTATGTTGAGACAACTTTACTTTAATCAGGTCTTTTTGTCCAAAACAGAAGCCGTAGTTATCGGCAGCACGCGTCATTTTTACAACGTAAACACATGACTTTTCCCCCGTTTTCAATGCGCGTTCCTATTCTATCTGAAGTCGAAAATTAAGTATTTATAGAGAAAAAGTTGTTGCATGATCATACATTCTAAGTCAACATCATGATGTTGAAACATTACGATTTAAAAATAGTTTGTTATGCGATCCCATTATCTACAAGTAGGTTCTCCTTCCTCAGTTATTCATCCTGGACCGTCATTTTGACATATTTAAATCTTGCATGTAAATAAAAAAAAAATTGTTTACTTCAGCAATCATACTATTTTACTGAACCCGGGAATATTATGAATACAAATAGCGCACGTATCTCATTTGACCCAAAGTACCCACAGAGGAGAGAACAGAATACGTCGTGGCCATCACAACAGTTACCCTTGGAGGGCCTCATAGCAAAATCAAACTAACCAGTCACTTATCCTTTCCTTTCGCACAAACTTCTATATATAGAAACACAAAGTAAACTCTCTCCGATACATGCTCATTAACATAACAAAATAAGTTAATCTGTGTTCCAACTCAGACAAAGATACTAGCGAGGTTAATATTTTTAGATATTTATTCATAACATAAACAGCATTTCTTTCGATTCCATTTCAGCTTTAACCGGCTATCCGGAAGAATACATGCAACGTACTAACTGCTAGGGCATTATTTTCTCATCTGAGTACTTCCCACCTGCAAAAATGATTACGTAACGTAATCCTTGCGCTATCTTTTGACCATTTGGAAACTTTTCGCTTCGTAGCTGACGCGGTAACGATTTTCTCTCGCTTACTTCCCACGGCCAGTCATTTTGTTTACAATGAAATATGGTGTGCTATGCGCATGCGCTAGTAGAGGGCAATCTTTGAACAAAACGTTGGTCAGACAGGTAGAAGTCCCGATGATTATCTTAAAATTATTCATTTTTATGAACATATATATCAGCCAAATCCATACGGAGACTCACTTGATATGTTAATGCAGTATTTGAAAAAAAAAGACAAAAACATATACACTTCAACATGATGTCCCTTTAAGCTGTTGGTTTGGCTTACGACTACATTTTCTTTCTAAGACAAATACCACGGGGAAATGATTGATTAAAAGGACCTACATGTAGCTGATAAAGAGCTATTGCGGGTTGCTATGCCTATTTCCCCAAAGCTGACATCCGCTAAAGCGCGCGAGCCACGACGCGTCCTCAGTTTCTCGATAAAGACGCTGTATGTAACATACGATCGCATTATCATTATCAACACGTTTTGAAAGGTACAATATGTATAATTGTTATTACTATACTGCCTACATCAAGCCACACCTGTTTCCTTACAAAACACACATACTTGATTTTGTTCTTCCTGCACCTTTGAATGGCAAAATTATATATGATTTTCGAATAGTTTGTCTCACACGTGTATTGCGCTGCTTACTTTGTGCTGCAGTCTTCATGTATTACAAACAAATGAGACTGTTCTCGTTGATGTCTTCCCGCATTTTCGGTATTGTTTTTTTTTGTAATAATTACAGTTCAGTTTTGTGCTTAGACTTTTATTCTGACGCAACAAATCCCAAATATTTTGTATTTCGGCATCATTTGTTTGTGTTTAAATTAAAATATAAAATTACTATTGCCTTTTGGAGGGTTAACAATTCATTTATATTATCTTAAATTATGTCTTACCTACAAACGTTGCTGTCCTATACACGTGTGCAGGGCTTTATTGATATGATTTTATAGAAGATATAAATAGGTATTTTATCAAAATATATATAAAAAAATGTCATTGACTTGAGCAATATTATATGACTTAATAAAGGAAAGATATCACATGCCTTAATATTTAAAAAAAAATATGATAATGGAATCAGAACGTGAATTCAAACTTGCACCGTTATCTTTTTCTGGTCACAGGTTAACTGCGTTACACAATCGGCTAAATCGGACATAGACAAAGGAAATACAAACTGTTTAAACCCAAGAAACACCTGTCGCAGTTTTGAGAAATTTGATCACCCCTGTTTTTCATTATTTTGAGCACTTTCCCATTATACGATTTGTTTTCCGGAATCAAAAAGATTTTTTTTCAAAAGTTGGTCCTCGGATTTGAAAGTGTTGAAAGTATTTTTCTAAATCTTTTAAACCCCATCACTTTCATAGATAAAGTAAACATGGCTATATTTTCACTATTGTATCCATATTCAATTGGTTTTATATTTATTCTATGCAGTTTCGTAACAAGAAATTATTTACTTATGAATATTTTTTCCGTTTTCTTAAATACCGACTTAGGGAATTATGGGCAATTATCAGCAATTGAGTTAATGAGATCATGCGATTTGTGTTGACAGCTTTGACACGCATTAGAAGCTATGGTGCGTTATTTCCTTTATGCTCTAACATACATATTGTATCTTGAGAACAAGGAAGGTCATTTGCACTTATAATATTTCGTGTTTTACATGTAAACAATCAATTCCGCGTTTTCCAACGTTTCGTAAATTGGTAACATTACACATTTCGTTTTAACATCACGTTATTAATAAAACAAAAACCAGCTCTGCATTAACTTGCACTAGCTGATATGGAACTATTCAAATAATTTTAAAAGTCTACCTGCAACTTTGGAGCACGGGACATGGGTAAAAAAAGTTGGGCCCCCAAACACATTTACCACCTAAAACAATTGCGAACAATGATAAGAAGTTTGGATATAAGAATTCCTACTGCAGAGCGGAAAGATATTGAACATATATACCTACCTATACGATATATATTTTTGTTTTGGATTTCTCTACTTGAACTTCACCGTATACTAATAGACCTTTCTTAATTTGGGGTAGACCTAGTACGGAGCAAGGAGACAGAGACCTAGACAAGTAAATACAGGGGTCATTTCAAAATAATTGTATACGGAACGTAGCGTGTAGGGTATGTCAGAGTGTGTACACACGCATGTCCGTGACTACAGGTAAGCGAACAGGTAACATCATATGGAGACACAGTATGTAACCGGTAACCACAGTCGTTATAAACTTTTTCGTGGCTCGATGCGGCAGGTACATGTATATATGTGACCGTGGTAATTGATATTTCAATATCTCCGTTAAGGATCTCACCCGGGACGTCTGTTGTATTTTTCTGACGCCGATTGAGTTAAAAGAAATTCCCCGAGCCAAAATATCCAGTTGGAAGAAGTTTAAATTTACCAGAGTGACAGGGATCACATATACATTTGTGGATTAAATTTACCATCCACAAACTTCTTAGGACACGATATTTCCATGTTACGAAAGAAATGTTTAACGCTTACACGGTGTCTTTTTATAATAGCGTTAAGCTGAAGGTACTTGTTCCACACATTTTCGTCACTTCATTCCTTTGCATTTTTGTATAGAGGTGGTTGGGAAAAAGGACGTCTATTAGCATCCCTTCGTGACAAAGTAACGTTTATCAATCTTCCTTCGCAACAGTAACATGATGGCGACGAAGCGACCTACTAGATAAGCTATACACTATAAGCCATAAAAAGAGTGGATTTCGGTATTGACATAATATGTTCTTGTTTATTCTCCTGAAAAATAACAACAGAAGAAAAGTAGAAATTTATTCAGTTTTCTGCTATTTTCGACTTAGATTTAAATCGACAGCTTTCATGGAATTTTCTCCATGCAACACAACCAGAATATCTAAATATTGGGGGGCAAATTCATTGAATGCTATTCTTAGAAGACTGTTCTAGGGATCATTTTAGGGGAGGGAATTTTCGGATTTTTATACTACTGAGATCAACTCTAGCATGCACCGAGTCTTTGTGTTCAGTATAAACCGTAATTCAAAAAATCACTTTTCTAAAAAAAACACCCAGTAAGGTGTGATTAGCAAAGAGAAGTTTATCAGTTGTACATGTAATGCAAATCAGGGAATGTTACTGTAGGTAAGGAGCACTAAAATATAGTTCTTTAGTGTTTTGTAGCTAGCAGGGGACAGGAATCCTTAATACAGATGAAACGGGGAAAAATGAGATGTTCCCTGATTTTACTACTCTCAGTGTCTGTCTCTGGCTCCGTGGTAGGTCTGCCTCAAAATGAGAAATGTCCATTATAGTGTCAACATGTCGATTAAGAGTTATCGCCCTTGCTCCATAGTTTGACTCACGCTTTGCTAACAATCACGGTACCAGTATATCTATGAGTTTGTTACGAGGGTGTCGGAGAGTCTAAAACTAACTTACACTAAATACGCCCCAATGACACTTAATAAATGAAGAAAGTATAGATGCACGTTAACACTAAAGACGCCCCAGTTACACTTTGTAGGTTAAAAAAGTATATACATGCATGTTTGACAATTGACAGAGTAAACACAATGTAGATGTTCAAACGGGAACATACAAAACTATACATCAGTAGTTAGAAGCATGTGTTTTCCTAGCACATTATATAATATGATCAATAGTTATCTCAAATCAATTAGCTGCCACAATATAATCGATTGCTGCTTTTTCTTAAACTTCAGTATTCGGTGATTCACTGATTTGATACTGTGAACAAACTATATATATATAAACTGCAGAAGTATGACCACCTAACTATTGAT